AAGAATATCAAGCTGCAGGGGACTCAAATAGAGCTGCGGATAGTTGGTAAGCGATAACGTTGGAGCTCTGTTTGGCGCCTGTTCGTCTCGCTGGAACACCAACGGGCAGTTAGTCGGCTGAGATGGTGCTTCGGCCCGAGTTTAATCCGTCGGTCGGCTTAGCTCGTGGTTCACCGTACGTCCAGCCCGTCAGAGCAGAGACTAAAGCCGGACTGTCTTAGGTGGGCTCTTAGCCAGATACCTTAGACCAGCTATTCACGTACCCCAGACTGACCCATGGATCGAGCTCCTCTCCAGGCGACCATCTGAACGACTCGCACGGCTGATCTAGTCGCGACCACATCGGTGTTACAACGAAAAAGCTTTTTGATTTTATACTCTTATATCCCTAGCTTAGCGTCCTTCTCGAACTCTTCCGTCTCCGCTGAAGTATAAAGACTGATACCGCGGCTGCCTCTACTACCCCTTATTCTCTTGTCACCGCTCCTCACACACAGCTCACCATGGCTTCCTCCGGGGTTGGGTCGTATTCGAACCCCTTGAAGAAATTCAAGTATGTTTTTCAGCGCGGAAGCGTATTGTCTTCTGATTCAATCGCTAACAGATCGATAGGCTGGTATTTTTAGGAGAGCAGAGCGGTACGCACAATCTTCCGGGGCGATCACACGGGGTTAAGATACGATAAGGGTGACTTCTGACATTATGTTGCAGTGGGGAAGACGTCTCTGATCACCAGGTTTATGTATGATTCGTTCGACAACACATACCAGGCGACAATCGGAATCGACTTTCTGTCCAAGGTAGATTTCACCTCGTTCACAGACATTTTGCGTCCGCGTTCACGAATACTTTTATGGTTGCCCATCACCGAATATGCGGGTTAGCTAACCTGTTATCGCGCATTAGACGATGTATCTGGAGGATAGAACAGTCCGACTCCAGCTCTGGGATACGGCCGGTCAAGAGCGATTCCGATCTCTGATTCCTTCCTACATTCGAGACTCGAGCGTCGCAGTTGTCGTCTATGATATCTCAAACGCCAAGTCATTCCAAAATACCCGGAAGTGGATTGATGACGTTCGTGGTGAGCGAGGCAACGATGTGATCATCGTGCTAGTAGGCAACAAGACCGATTTGAATGATAAGCGGGAAGTGACTACAGCACAAGGCGAAGAGGAGGCAAAGAAGAACGGACTGATGTTTATCGAGACCAGCGCCAAGGTCGGCCACAATGTGAAGCAACTTTTCAGGAGGATAGCCCAAGCCCTTCCGGGAATGGAGGGTGAAGCAAACAGAGAATCGCAAAGTGGGTTGATTTTCCGCAACTGTTGGCTTGCTGCCTCTGAGACTGACTGCTCTTCGTACAGTGATCGACGTCAACATCAACCCCAGAGAGACGACAAGCAACGATGGATGCGCGTGCTAGTTTTATATCAACCTTTTGATTACCTGTCTATAATTGCTACTCGCTCCTTTGATGACTTGATCTCAATGACGATAATTGAGATTGTTCATAATGTTTTACCATTCTTAACATGTACATTGTCTTCTCCATTCCATGTTTCAGGTTGAACAGCGTTTTTAGATTGAAGTCTTTCAATTTTGCGCCTCTCCAGTCGTTGGTCTCAAAGTGGTCGTCGCCGGGTTGCTACAAGGCAGAGATGGGTGTTCTACTTGCGCATCGTATGAGCGTCTCATTGCCCCATGGACTCATCGTCAAGAATCTCTATTGCGTGGGCATTATTGGAAAATTACCCACCTTTTTTGTGTGTGCCGATGTCGCGCATTGACCTTGTCTATTGACAAAAGGAGGCTGATATTTCCAAGCGCCTCATACAGTCAAGTACAATTGAATCCAGTCTCTGGCTATTTAGTCAGGCAGGCAGAAATATACGCTCTCAGTGCACTACAGCCGTCCTATTCAATACCAGAAATTAGCTCTAAATGTGACTTGGTGCTTACCTTTTTGTGGCAGATGCCAAGCCATAGAGGTTGCCTGATGTTTCTTACTGAACCTACGGAGTACCGCTGAAAATGACCGTAGATGCATCCGGAGTTGACATTGAAATACTGTAACAGACTGGCTGCAAGAAAATGGAAGAGTCAATTCTATCTACCACATCGTAATGCCGAGAAAGACTAGAATTATGAGAATAAGATAATGATGCCATCGTCACCATTGCCATTCTCAGGGCTCACTATTACTCGCATTATGCTCTTCTGAGTAGTCTTAGCCTCTGGTAAACGAATACGAAAAGGTAGCGATCAGCGGGCGGATCGCCCGGAAAACCAAGCCCGCCCCTGTGCAACAGCCGCTTAGGTTGGGCATTCCAACAACCCAGCACCAGCCTCGTTTGCCATCTTTCATTCTCTTCATCCGTTCCCGACTTGTCGTTCTACCATCATCTTTTTCTGTCATTCCATTCCTTTTCCTCTTTCTGCCGTCCTTGAGCCACGAGCGGTTCCCCTCACCGACCTCATCGGCGGCATCCATCATGGGTTTTTCAGCCCGTTTCCTCCGCGTGCCGCGGCCAGAGGTACGTCAATTTTCATCGCATGACCTCAATGATGGAACTGCAAAACTTTTCCATTCGTCTTTCGACAGGTCTGCCAAGTGTGCGAATACTAATTAACGATGACTCCAACAGACGTTTCTTTATGTGATGAGCCTGGAGACAGGCGCTTCTTTAATCACACTTTCCCTGCTGCTGAACAAGATCAGCGGTCTCTATGGCCTGCTCGCCTTATTGACCGGCTACCATCTGTCGCCAGTCCAGCTCTCTATGTACCTCTATTCGCTTGTTGCGCTCGGTCTTACAGCATATCTCTTCCCGCATATTCGGAAGCAGTCGCCCCTGCAGTGCCTCGCCCTCGCTTGGCTCTACCTCTTCGACACAGTCATCAATGCCGCATACACAGCTGCGTTCGGTGTGACATGGTTCCTCGTTATCTCACAGCACTACGATAACGGGACCGCAAAGGGACCGGGCAGCGACACAATCTCCCAAACCGCCGGCTTCACCAACCCCAAATACGGCTCCTCGTCCACCAATGGAAACTCCGCACGAAGCCCGGACGGCCTCACCAACGCCGTCACCCAGCCCGAGAGCTTCCAAAGCATTGTGTTCATCTGCTTGCTGTGGATTATCCGCATTTACTTTGTGTTCGTCATGCTCGCCTTTGCCCGCCAGGCATTACGTCTCTACGTCGCAATCCCCCGCCACACACAGCTACCCACGCACAGCCGCAATACCTCTGTCGCTAGCGTTGCTAGTGTTGCTGATATCGACCGGGAGCCGTTCTCACCATATAGTCCTGATGGTCAAGGCTGGCAGGGCAAGCTTGGCCGCCTCTTGATTGGCCTTGGTCGCAGTTACTGGCTGGGCGAAGACGAGGACGGTGCCTGGTTGGACAGCATGGGTCGCAAGTTTCGTGCTCGCGGCCAGGATCTTCCGGGTCCTTTGGAACGAGAAAGAAGGCGCCGGTCGGGCACCGGGCCTCCACAGCCCTCGCAAGCCACGGTTCAGGCCGCTGCACTGCAGCAACCGATCCCGGAGAATCTGAAGATGCATGACTGGACTGACGGCCGGTGATTTGTTTCGGTTACCAGCATATATCGCTGCCTAGCAGCCGGCATACTTTGTTGACATAATGGCACGTGATGTCATCTGGTCCCGCCACCCCACCTCCTGCTTAATTGCTAGGGATCGTGGCCGGCCATCGTTGCGCTCTTGTCGTTGTATAGAATCAAATCGACAAGGCTCGCCACTGTTGATAATACCCTTCTTACCATTGGCTCAAAGTCCCTGTGATCTTTTTGTTCCTGTTACTTATTTTATATGCCGAAATGATCTACATAACATGGTTGGGTGGGGACTTGGGCTCTGGGTGATTGCTGGATGATTCATGTCTTTCCCCCTTCACTTTTGGTGAATGTCTTCAAAGGAAGAGGCGTTCGGGTCAGGTTTTCTCGGATATGGCATGCGGATGTAATTGGTACTGACACGTGGAATCAGATAGTAGAGGGAAATCATGGATCTACTCTGGTGGGCGCCTGTTCCTTCGGCTGAGGATGGCTCGGGAGTACAGGCCCTGTATATTTTCATAACGATATGGGTTTAGCATTTATTAAGGCGTCTTGAGAAATTCATCATCATCAATAGTGCTAGTTTTCGTCTTCAAACTTATTGCATACAACCTCGCAGCAGCTGACAAGCAGCCGATCTGTTTTGAAAATGATGGCATTAATGAGAGATTGGTCATCCAATCATTACCTTAGTAGTTGATTGCTGATTTATTGATATGCCACCAAGCTCTCGCCCGAGAGACTGGCCTGAGGCACCTTGGTAGCGACGTAGACTGCCGAATAAGCAAGGTCCGGTAGTTAATCATCCATAAGAATCTCAGTGCTGCACTCTGTTACTCAGAAGAATTCCACTATTAGACCTTTATTTTACTCTAGTCCCAACTAGACATATTATAATGACGGACAGTAGCTCTGCCTCGAAATAACAGAATCCCGATACTGTGGACTGATCCTTCTCGTCAGATCATCAGCTCGGTGACCGATTCAAACACCGACGCCAAGACCTCAAAACGTGAGGAAGAAAACTGACGTGCTCAAGCTGGCAGTCACGGGACCCCCGCACTTCAACCGAAACAGCAAGTTTGTTTCCATGCCAGATGAGTGTTTGCATCGATGTCGTGATCGTAGTCCAATCAGAAGGCTGATGATCCAACCCCCGATGGCGGAGAGGATGGTGTACGCAGTGCCTTTTTTCCCGTTGTCTGCTTTTTTTGGGAGATAATTGTGAATGTGTTAGGAGAGTTTTTACTTAAATCTCATTTGGGAGCCTTTCTTTTCCTCCGCATATTCTGTTTGTTCTTCTGTCAAGGTTGCATTGAGTGGGAGTCACCGTATGCGGTGATATCTACATTTCTGCACATATACTTCATCCCACTTTCTGCGCAGTGAAGAGCGCAGTGCACATCTACCAGATATGGCATCCATTTCGTCTGCTGCGGAAGCAGGTTAGTCTTCTTCCCCTATGCATGCTAATTGTCATGTTCCAGTTGGAACATTTTCCCTGCGATCGATTGCTAATTATTCAAAAAGCTGCACGAGTTGCCTACCTTGTCAGCGACACTATCCTCTCCGTTCAACCATCTTTGCAGACAGATTCTCTGTTCTCAAAGCCCCTCAAGGCTCTGAAGGCGAGCAATACTCGTAGCATCCTCCCTAGATCTACAGCCGAGGTGGGTGAAATCGCAACCTGCCCAGTCATGGAAATTTCGCAGAATTATGATTGACCCTGTGGACAGGTGGTAGCTGTTCGCTCTAATGAAGACCCTCTTCTTTCTGCCTTCCATCCATTGCAGGCAGGCGACGCAGTTTCCGTCGTCACCGGCTCCTCTGTCCTGCTCTCATCCGTTCCTCACCTCTACCGCTTAGCGAACTCTCCAATTGTCATCCATGTCGCCCTGGAGCCCTCCCCATTTCCAGATTACTCCGTCATCAGCTCGATACGCCAGTGTGGCTTCACCTTCTTGCATTCCGAGACAATTCAGGAGGCACAGGATATTGCCATCACCGCCCATGCTCTAGCACACAGATCCGGAAAGGGTGTCATTCATTTCTTTGACCCTGCCAACTCCGCAAACGAGAATGCCATTGAGGCGGAAAATGTGGACGTTATTAGATCTCTGCTCAACCTGGGCAGAAGCAGTGCCTCCCAGTCTGGAGCTCAGACACTATATGCCGACTCCGGCCGCGTAGCCACCGTGTCTGAGGAAGTTGCGGAGAGCTCTGCTGTCCAAGGTGGCATTGCTTCCACCCTCGCGCCACCAACCCAGACTCCTTCAAGCGTCAGTGTTGATAACTCATCCGTCGGATCGTCGCGGAGAGATAGCAGCACGGACAGCCATGCCACCAGCTCTGCCGCCACAACCGTTGATGCTGCCGCTTCGGTCCGTCCAGTCAGCGCTGCCGACATCTTCGAGTGGACAGGCCAGATCTGGAGAGTTCTGTCCCAGAGCACCGGACGCACCTACCGCGCAATTGAATACACTGGTCCCTCGGATGCCAAGTCGGCCATCTTCATCTTTGGCTCCACCGGAGTATTCGTTGATGTCCTCGCAAAGGCGGAAGCCAACAGTGAGCTCGAGAACATCGGACTCATGACTGCTCGCCTTTACCGTCCCTGGATCGGAGGCCAGATTGTGAATTCTATTCCGAGCTCCGTCGAGAAGATTGCCGTTCTCGAGCAGGTTCGCAAGACTACCAAGTGGGGTCCGTCATTCATGGATATCTTGTCCAGCTTGACCCCCTCTGCTGGCAGACCAACCCCTCAAATTGTTGGGTACAGACTTGGATATGTCGAGCCTTCTACTGCAGTTCAGGCACTGCGCGGTATTGTCCATAACTTGAACTCTTCCTCCCCTATTCAGAATCTCGAGATCGGCAGCGCCAAGGTCCCCGCCGCTGAGTCTTCTCTGGAACAGCCTCACGTTGAGAACGCCTACCTGAAGATCCTGAACCAACTATTTGCTGAGCGTCTTTACATTGCCAATCAGTTGGGCTCTCAGAATGCGGGCGTTTCTTCCACTATCGCAGCGAGCCCCGAATATGGATTCGGTTCGCTGATCGCCAGGAAGGAGCGCCGTCAGCGCTTTGTCCGCGAGGTCGAAGAAGCTTCAAAGTCCACTGACTTCACCTCCGATTCCTCCAAATCATCGTTGTCTAATTGGGCGCTGAATGTCAAGGACGCTTCAAAGGCGAACAAGCTGGCTTCGGAAGTGATTGACACACTCTCTAAGGACGAGTCTCAGCTAGCCAAAAAGCTCCTCGAGTCGAGGAAGCTCTTCTTTGAAGAGTCCCAATGGCTCATCGGTTCCGACGCGTGGGCTTACGATCTCGGCAACTCTGGTGTTCACCATGCCCTCGCTTCCGGAGAGAATGTCAACATGCTTATTATTGACTCCCAACCTTACTCGGAGCGTGCAGCTGCCGACCCGACTCGCAGAAAGAAGGATATCGGATTGTACGCGATGAACTTTGGCAACGCTTACGTCGCCTCCGTTGCCGTTTATGGCTCCTACACCCAGGTTCTCCAGGCAATGGCCGAGGCCGAGCAATTCAAGGGCCCTTCCGTCGTTGTCGCCTATCTGCCCTACAACCAGGAAAATGACTCCGCTCTCACTGTTCTTCAAGAAACCAAGAAGGCCATTGACCTTGGATACTGGCCTTTGTACCGCTGGAACCCCGACAACGAGGCGAAAGGCGAACCAAAGTTCGCTCTCGACTCCGACCGCCTCAGGCGGGAGCTCGAGGAGTTCCTTCGCAGAGACAACCAGCTCACCCAGCTCATGAACCGGAAACCCAAGTTCTCTGCTGTTCTCTCTGAATCATACGGCACTGAAGTCCGCGCCCTGCAGAAGCGTAAGGCCAAGGATTCCTATGAGCAGCTGCTTGAGGGTCTTTTCGGAGCGCCTTTGACAATCCTCTTTGCTTCAGATGGCGGTAACGCTCAAACCCTCGCCAAGCGCCTTGGAAACCGGGGTCGCGCTAGAGGATTGAAGACCATGGTCATGGCCATGGATGATTACCCGGCTGAGGATCTTGCGACAGAGGAGAATGTGGTTTTCATTACCAGTACTGCTGGCCAGGGTGAATTCCCTCAGAACGGTCGCAGCCTCTGGGAAGTCATCAAGAACTCTGGTGATTTGGATCTTTCCTCTATCAACTACTCTGTCTTTGGTCTTGGTGACAGCCACTACTGGCCTCGCAAGGAGGATAAGATCTACTACAACAAGCCTGCCAAGGATCTCGACGCTCGTATCGCTTTCCTTGGAGGCCGCAAGCTCACGGATATTGGTCTCGGTGATGACCAGGACCCAGACGCTTACCAAACCGGCTACTCTGAGTGGGAGCCTCGTCTTTGGCAAGCTCTCGGTGTCGACAAGGTCGAAGGTCTTCCAGAGGAACCCGCGCCCCTGACCAACGAAGACATCAAGATCCAGTCTAACTACCTGCGCGGTACCATTGCTGAGGGCTTGTTGGATGAAACCACTGGTGCTATTTCCGCCAGTGACCAACAGTTGACCAAGTTCCACGGCACCTACATGCAGGATGATCGTGATGTCCGTGATGAGCGTAAGGCTCAGGGTCTCGAGCCAGCCTACAGTTTCATGATCCGTTGCCGGCTTCCTGGCGGTGTTGCTACTCCTTTGCAATGGATTCAGATGGACGACATCAGCAGCGCATACGGCAACGAGACTATGAAGCTTACCACTAGACAAACCTTCCAGTTCCACGGTGTCATCAAGCGCAACCTCCGCTCTGCCATGCGTGCCATCAACAAGGCGCTCATGACAACTATTGCCGCTTGCGGTGATGTCAACCGTAACGTCATGTGCAGTTCTCTGCCCGAGCTTTCCTACTTCCACCGCGAAACTCACGCGGTCGCTAAGAAGATTAGCGACCACCTACTTCCTTCCACCACCGCCTATCACGAGATTTGGCTGAAGGATGATGACGACAACAAGATCCAAGTGGCAGGAGATGCCGTTCAGGACCACGAGCCCCTGTACGGTCCCACATACCTTCCTCGAAAGTTCAAGATCACCATCGCCATCCCTCCTCACAACGATACTGATGTCTATGCGCACGATATTGGTCTGATCGCCATCAAGGGTGCTGACGGACACCTTGAGGGCTTCAATATCCTCGCCGGTGGTGGTATGGGTGCAACTCACAACAACAAGAAGACTTACCCTCAGACCGGTCGTATGTTTGGTTACGTGCCAGCTGATCAGGCTCACATTGTCTGTGAGAAGATCATGCTCGTCCAGCGGGACTTTGGTGACCGCAAGAACCGTAAGCACGCTCGTCTCAAGTACACCATTGACGACATGGGAGTTGAGACCTTCAAGGGCAAGGTGGAGGCTCTCCTTCCCGATGGGTTGCGTTTTGCCGAGCCCCGCCCGTTCAAGTTTACTTCCAATGTCGACACCTTTGGCTGGCAGAAGGATGAGACTGGCTTGAACCACTTCACCTTTTTCATTGAGAACGGTCGTATCGAGGACACAGCTGAGTTCACCATGCGTTCGGGCTTGCGTGAATTGGCCAAGCTCGACAAGGGCGAGTTCCGCCTGACTGGTAACCAGCATCTGATCCTCTCCAACATCAAAGACGAGGACTTGCCTGCTGTCAAGGAGATAATGGCCAAGCACAAGCTCGACAACACTTCCTTCAGCGGTTTGCGTCTGTCTTCTTCTGCTTGTGTTGCGTTCCCCACATGTGGTCTGGCCATGGCCGAGTCTGAGCGCTACCTTCCTGTGCTGATCTCTAAGCTGGAATCGACCCTTGAAGAAGTTGGTTTGGCCCGTGACAGCATTGTTATGCGTATGACCGGTTGCCCGAACGGTTGCGCCAGGCCCTGGCTCGCCGAGGTTGCCTTCGTTGGCAAGGCCTACGGTGCTTACAACATGTACCTCGGCGGTGGTTACCACGGACAGCGCCTTAACAAGTTGTACCGCCAGTCTATCAAGGAGGATGAGATTCTCGACATCATGAAGGGTCTGCTCAAGCGGTACGCACTTGAGCGCAACACCGATGGTGAGACTCCGGAGCGCTTCGGAGACTGGTGTATCCGGGCTGGCATCATTAACAAGACCACGGATGGCACCAACTTTCACGAAGGGGTATGTTGACCTATCACTCACTATTCTTAAGGCTTCTGAGCAGTTACTGACCTCATCTAAAGGTTGCTGAAGAGGATGAAGAGTGAACGATGATGAAAAGTTACGCTTAGTCTCCTTGTTGGATAACAGGGCGCGTACTCTTCTGATTTTACCTTTGATGATAAATGTCCCGCTCCGAGATATGCTCGTCATACCCGCAGATAAACCTGTCATTGTCTTTTGTATGGCATTTTAGATCAAAATACATCTTTAATTGCGTCCTTTGGCGTAAATAACTAATGAGTCAGGAGTCCCTTCGTAACTGGCCATTTTGATAGCATCTGTCATACATCTCCCACTCAGCCAAAAAGGTGCCCAGACAATGATCTCTAGCTGGTAGGGATGATAGAGCAGTAGGGTCAACACAGTAGGGAGGGCATGATAGCATCTATATCCTTGGTAGCCTGTATCTGTTCTCTTAGCCCTTATCAATCACAGAAGCCTACGCTTCATACAGTAGGCGGTGTACAACCAAAAATTAATTTTTGCCGCTTATCCGCAGTCACTCTGCAAGCTTCTCCAAATGTATGACAGCTGCAGATCAGGAATTGCAGCCATCGAGGAGAAGCCGCTCTATCATCTTATTCTTCTATAGCTGATCAAGGTCCTGGACATATCACTCATCAGTCTGCAGTGACCAGGACACCCGATCGTCGATCCTTTTGAAATTTCACTCTCCAAATTTAACCCCTCATGGACGACTCAGACCTCGTCGTCGCATCCTACGATGTTTACCTCACAGAGTCCGAGATCTCCAGATTCGTTCTCCAGTACTTAGACCGATCCGCCGAACACCCCTACGACGAGAGCCACGAACAGAAACCCACTGCGTTCCGATTGAAACCGAACACCGGTCTCGTGGAGGTTGATGTGCCGATCCAGACACGAGTGAACTACGATGTCAGTAAAGGGCTGCGATATGGCGATGCCATGAGAAGGTCCCGCAGCGCCCGGGATGGAGGCTCCTACGGCTTGGCTGGCGGGTTCAGCTCGGGGGCTGCTGCGGGCGGCGGGAAGGTGAAGATGGAGGGGAACGTGGATGTGGAAATGGGCGGGATGGATAGTAAGGAGGGCTCTGATATTATGCGAGTGCAGACGCTTGGAGGGCGGATTAAGGGTCCTGAGGATGGGGATCCGGTGTACATGCTTGCGGCGTTCCGTGGACGTGGGTTTTCCCCTTGCTCTCATGTGTGACTGCAATGAAGAGGAATTGCTGACGTGGGGTTTGCAGAGAATTTGCACCTGTCTCCTGTTTCTGCGGTCGTGCAGTTGCACCCACAGCTTCATCATATCGATGCCTTGGATGAGATCCCTGCGAAGGGGAGGGGTAAGGCCCGGAAAGAAGGCGAGGAAGAGCAGACTGAGGCTCGCGCGATCGATGTGAAGATCAAGGCGGCAGAGGATGCTGAAGCGGCCATGGTTGCGGGCAACCTGGAACTGCTGAAGAAGATGCAAGACGAGAAATGGACTACGTATGAATGGGTGGATGCAGAGGTTGGTCTTTCGACTGTTGTATACCGGCAGAACCCAGATGTGCTAACTTATTTTCAACCAGACCGAGGAAGCATGGCAGACGTACGAGAGCTACATGATCCAGCAGGACCTGGAGAATGTTCCGCAGCTTGAGGCGGCCATCGATAGCGAAGACTATCTGGATAGGATGAGCGCACCACGTATCGACCCAGCTCGACCAGAGTTGACGGGTTGGGCGATGAAGCAGAATCGGAAGAGGCAGAAGGAACAAGCTGGCTCCGTCGGAGTCAATGCACAAGGGTGAGCTTCGATATTGCATTTGAAGGGATGAATCAATGTACGATTGCCACGACGTATAAATACTACATGGATCATAGAGTGACTACCGCTTTTCTACGTCCTGACCTTCTGATTAGGATTACTCCATCATTTTAACCAGTGCTTTTTTAAGTTACCTAAGGCTGTACACCTAGTACCTACATGCGATAGTGATCGCAGTCGCATAACACACCTCAATCACTTCCTTTCTCATGCACTTTCGCTGAGGATATCTCCACGAAAGAACAGTAAACATTTAATTGCTTCCCGTCCAACGACAAACGAGCCGACATTATTCGAAAGAGATCAAAAGAACCCTGACGAAACAATAGACATTGTGGCTACCACTGTAACAATTTTAATTGAAGATGCTCCCCTTGAAAAGGCTCCAGAGTATCTTGCCACCGTAGTCCGCCCAATCAGGATGCTCTAAAAAACTACCACCCAAGTAGTAGCTCACGTGCCTTATCGCCCATCGTTCCAACTGATTAGGAATAGTCGGTATTTTTCTTCTCTCCGGGCTCCCGTGTTCCTGGAGGCCGACAGTTTGTTCTGCTTCGCAGATTTTCATCCTCCTCTCCCTCATCACATAATTCAATTCCTTTTCCTGTCGTTCTTCCATTTTATCCGTGAAGAGCTGCAGGACGGCTTGTCAGTTCGGATTGTCACATTCCGCCTGGCAAAGTCGCTTTTCTCCTATCTGGTCTGATTTTTTCCGTTTCTCAGACCATCTTCTCCGTCTCCAATGAATCTGCGCATTACTTGCCATTAATCTTATACTTTATTCGCTTTCCCTTCTATCTTTTTGATTTACTGCCTTATAATTCATTCATTGTCTGTCTGTTCGTTTAGCGGTGTTCGTGCATCATGTTGTCCCGAGTCGCTCGCCAGAAAAATGCCATCTGCCTATTGCGGCAGTCGAACGGACGCCGTCTACTGCCTTCAGTAGCAGCGCTGCGATCCCATGCCAACTCCAGCAAGCCGGCATGGTTGGCAAATCCATCCGTAACCACTCCACAGGAACATTCTCGTCGACCTTCGTTTCAGTCCAATCGGACTCTTGCCACTGCCGCCGATCAGTCTGCCGTTGATCAAGGATCCTATGCATCGTTCGACGACTCACTTTATGCGCCAGAGAATTTCTATGACCCATCACAGCAGTGGTCTCAACTGTTCCCTTCGCTGCCTGCTAAAGAACTCGATCCTTCGTCCCTGATCATCGTGGGCGAGTCATTACAAACGAAACCCAAAGTATTGCGGAAGGTGAGAGGGATTGGCGGCGATGAGGATGAAATGCTGGCCAATTTGGATGTCTCTCTCAAGGTTGGACGTTTTGATCGGGCTGCTACGCTCATTAATCGACTGGGACAACATTACCCTGTCGGTTCATCGGAGTACCTGGCTATTCACAATCGCTATTTGGAAAAGATGGTATCACACATGATTGTTACAAGGCAGCACAATATGGTACTGCCGATGCAGAGGTGGTTTGAGCTTGATATGCCAAACGGGGGCGTGAAACCGGACGCAACAACATATGCAATTATGATACGGATGGCACTTCGCATGCTTCATGGCTCGAAGCGAGACAGAGCAGTGCGAAGATATTGGCAATTCGCCAAGAAGGATAATATTGAGGAAGAAGTGCTGGCAGTCCCTGTTCTCTCGGAATTGGAGCTCGGAGAACTCTCAGAGGTTCGTACTTTACATCTAATTACGGTGCTTCCCTTCAGTTCTAGTTACTGATTCTTCGGATTACTTTAGATCTGCTCATCTGACCTTCAACGCGTTGCCATCGGCAGTATTGGATCTGAACCCACACCCGCTGTCGCCGTCAGCTCGCAGATGGATAACTTGGCGGAAGTTAGACCCGTTGAGCAAAAGGGTCTCGGGCTTTCCTCCCTCAAACAATCTCTCGCCCTCTTTCTGAGCGAATCTAATTCCTCCGTGCCCACCGACCCCGAACAGAAGCAGGCCTTTGATGAACTCAAACAGCGTCAATTGGAAGCTGACTCGATACGGTCTGCTATGGATCGTTGGCGTCAGGAGTTTGATAACAGGCAGAAATTGGGCCTTGATGCAACCGCTGGCGGGAAGAAATTAGGGTCCATTATGACCGAGTGGCACTCTAGCCTCGTTGCTAGGATCAAGGAGGAACTTGAGCTTGTTGCTGAAGCGGAGGCAAATCCCATTCGCACTCTTGAGCAGAAAGAGCGCTGCGAGTATGGTGTGTACTTGCGATGTCTGGATACAGACACTTTGGCAGCGCTCACCATTCTGGCTGTCATGTCTACTTTCAGTCGCGGTGGGATGGAAAAGGGTTTGAAGGTTTCTGCAGTTGTTTCGACGATTGGTAAAGATCTCCAGGATGAATTGATAGCGGAGGCTGCCCTCAAAAACGAAGCAGGCGCAGACTCTCGGCGACTCAAGGCACTGAAGGAACTCCTCGCGGGGCGCAAGAAGAAGGACGGTCGTGCCAAATGGCATGCTCTCGTTCAGAAGATGCAGCAAGAGGATGCGACGATCATGTGGTCGCCACGAGTGACTGCAAAGATCGGCGCGGTATTGATGAGCCTGCTATTCGAGGTCGGTAAGGCGCCAGTGACCATGGAAGATCCCGAAACCAAGAAGAAAACGATCACGATGCAACCCGCCTTCCAGCATGCTTATCAGATCACCTGGGGAAGGCGTACGGGCTACCTCCACCTTCATCCAGCAATCGTCCAGATTATCGCCAAAGAACCGACTGCCGATCTTCTCGGTCGGCATTTACCCATGGTCTGCAAACCCCGGCCCTGGAAGGGCATGAAGGACGGGGGTTTCTTGTTGTATCAATCCGATATTGTGCGGACGACACCCGGTGAAAGTCTTCAACCGACGTACATCAAGACTGCCTTGGAAAACAATGGCCTTGAGGACATTCGCCGGGGCTTGGATAATCTTGGCGGCACAGGGTGGACCATCAATCGCGACGTCCTCAATGTTATGCTCGAAGCATGGAATTCTGGAGAGGCGGTCGCAAACATTGCTCCTCTAGAACCCGACCTACCACTTCCGCCCAAGCCAGCTCCCGAAGCGGGGTATCACGCTGAAAAGGAATGGGATACTCTGGTACGCGAAGTAGAAAACAGGAGATCTGGATTGCACTCGATGCGGTGTTTCCAGAATTTCCAAATGGAACTCGCTCGTGCGTACAGGAATGTTACCTTCTACCTGCCGCATAACATGGACTTCCGCGGTCGTGCTTACCCACTTC